TTCAGTTCGATTTTCAGTTAAAAATAGTAAAAAATAAGCTAACTACAGCAAATTTACTCGCACAACCGAAAAAAAAGATTGATTGCGGTGGACTCCGTAACTGAAAATCTACTCGACCGACTCTTTCCAAATTTTCCTCACTACTTATCTACATAAATTATGAGGTAATGACGTCGAGATATTTCATTTAAAATGATTTTTGAGTTTTTGGCATCATTTTGAAGTGAAAAAAATTGCATTTAAAAATGCAAAAAGTTAAATTATCTCGACGCCATTATCTCATAAATAATCTAACTTATAAAAAAGAGATGGACCTTAAAGTGAAGCCAATCTATTCGGCCTCTGATTGGTCGACTGACTTTTGACTTGAGTCGAAACGTAATAAAGTAACATCTACGGTCATAATAGCAACTTTTTCGAAACTGACTGAAAGATGTACGCGCGCGAAGCGCGCCTGAAAGTTGCTAACCTCAAAACACAAATAAAAAAATTGATACGCGCGGAACGCGTCTTAAACGTCTAGTTTACTTAAATAGCGTATAAAATATGAAGTGGATCGGTCGAGTAGATTTTGAGTGATGGTGTCCACCGGTTTTTTTTACGTTGCATGTGAAAATTTGCTGTAGCCTGCTTATTTTTCAGTATTTTGGGCTAAAAATTTAACTGAATATTCTTAAAGTAACTATTAATTATGTGTATGATTTATATCAATTAGATTTACTAGATGTTAAAAAAAAAAGATTTTTTTTGAAATTTAGTCAAGATCCTAGCCCCCCCCCCCCTTAAGTGTAGCAGATTTTTTATTTAGTTATTTTTTTAATTTACTAATCTTCAAATATAGCAATAAGCGTTATTAAAATAGCTATTCTCGTCATTTTTTTTGTACTTTAGCATGAAAAAAATTTTTCCAAGCCTTTTGTTTAAATTCTATAACACTTAAGTGGATAAGAATTTCATTATAAAACTTTTGAGACCCACAGGATCAGGATTGGTGAAAAATTGGATTCAAAATTATGCGGTCAATGATTTAGCAACCACAAGTCAATATATATAAATCCTGGATGAATTTTAACAATAAGAGGAACTAGAGACATATTTTTTGTTGTAAAAGGACCTATAAGAGTACTTTATGCAATAGTATGACGAAAATAACTATTTCTAGACCATGCTACAGCCAGAATTCATATGTAGAAGCTTAAGACTGTTATTTTATCCGTAAAATGAGTAGCTTTAATATAAGATTTTAACAGAATAAAGCTGTTTTGTAATTGTACTATCAATACACATGAATACATATTTTAATTTTATTTGATAAAGAAAAATAAGCAAGGAATCGCCTCATTCGGATAATGTAAAAATTATCTGAAACACATTAGAAAATAGTTAAGGATTCATGATAAAGTTGCCTAGCTAAAATTTTGAAAGTTTTTTCTTTAAATTTTTTTTGTATTGATTAGTTTCATAGATCACTCAATGATTTTATTAACACGTGAAGAAAGAAAACTTATTCAGCATTTCTATACGCAGCATTGCTATAAGTTAGACAGATTGTCTTAGTTGGCTGGATAGCGGGTTGCCTATTGGTAGGAGGGAATCTGTTTACATAGGCCTGTTGGTATGAATTTCAAAAATATATTATTTTTGTGTGGTAAAATTCTGTAACGATCCACAAATAATTTTACTATTATCTCATATTTTTTTACCAAACAACTTTAATTGTTTTTATGACATTAATTTTCCCGCCTGCATAACTTAAAAAAATATTATTTAAAAGTAAATATTCTTTCATAATAATTTTATGCAAATACTAATCAGTAATAATGACTGGTATTATGAATTTTACTACTTTAATTAATTTGCCTTTAAAATGTATCAACGTTCGACTATCTAAATAATTTTAATGAAAACATTCTGGATTATGTGTATGAACAAAGGTCGATTTTTTTGTTCAATTTTCAAAATAATTTTGATTTTAATTCAAGTCATAATAAGTAAAAGTTAACTTCAGAGCACAAGCGCCAATCCCAAAATAATTCACTCGAAGAAAATGACAGATCTTTTCGAAATCCATTTTTCTTCACTTCAACCCGTCGTTTCTCTTTCAATCAAACATTCTCAATGGCACGAGTCGGATAAATATGTTGTGCGTATATATGCTTGCGATATTTTACATTCCCTTTCTCGTGTGTTCTCTATCTAATGACGAGAAAAATGTTGACCTCTGACCAGGCCGCAGCAGTCGGCGGCGCGGCCAACATCTTCCTACTTCAGCCGAGAGTATTTTAGACGATAGCATATACTGCGCTAATGATCCGTTTTCTCTCTGCCTCGCACATATAGATATAATGCGCGTATTTGTCGCTCCCCGCGCGCAACGCTACTGCGTGTTTAACGATGTCAAATAACTCGATGCAGCAGTCGATATCGATCCTCTGTTGCGTCTCTGTATACCACGCATACATACATACATTACATTTTTATATAGCTGCAGGTAAACGCATATAAATATCACAGACCTTGAGATCTCGAAACCGCAAGTGATTTTCAAGGCTAACACATAGTGCTGCACACGTATACGCGAGCTCGCTCGCGCGCGAGTTACCGATCTTAATCGCGTGCCGCAGTCTAGTCTCAAAAGTGCGCCAACACACTGGCCGATCTATAAGATAGATCGCATGCAGTAACAGCAGCAGCAGCAGCCGCCGCAGCAGCGTAGAAATCACGTGTATTTCGGGTGTTGCAAGTAGGCATTCAGTGCGTTCCGATAAATACACAGTGGAAGCGATGAATCGTTCGGGTCAGAGTCGAGCCTATGCACGCGAGACGTATTCTATCGTAAACATGATCGATTGGAGTAAAAAAGTCACCGGCGCGTACGCTTGAGAGGTGAACACGCAAAGGCTGAAGCGTACAGATATACGATTAATAATCGCAGGTAAGATGCTGACAAGCTGCACATTAATACAAGCACATACAATACATACAGAGCGAAACATATTCATCGAGTTGGTTAATTTTTATAAGTGCACGAATGGGTTCATAATGTTAATAACACCAAATGGCATACGCACAATTATTTTAAATGCAAGTCAGGGTAAGCAAAACGTAAATATATAAAAATGATGAGGAATAATCATTGTCCCCAGAAAACCTTGAGTATTATTGCAATTCTTTCGTATGTAACATGTATAGGGCATAAACGCTTACGATAGACGATATACGACATAGATCGTATCAGCATTGATTTGCAGACTAGAGGAATAACGAGAAGTTGAGGAGCTTGTCCACCCAAACATATATCGCTGAGTGAACACGAAGACTCGCTCTGTACAGATGAGCAAAAAAAAATCAACAACATTGTGAGAAATTGATGAAAATTTATTTACCGTCCTTCTCGGATAAACGTCCAAGGTTTTCTTCGGTAATGAAATGAATTGATAGATCTAATAATTGCATTTCGCAATCAACGGCTCTATGGCTGAATAAGGTTTCAAATGCTTCAATCATTACATTAGAAGATTCGAAGTTCCTAATAGCGATCTTGCATCGATTGACCAGTCATCACTTAATACTACGCGATATCTATATTTCGGCCTGACACACAATATACGTCACGAAGGATGAAATTTCGTTCCGGAACGAGCTTAGTCGAACGTAGTGGCGCGCGTCATGTGCGTAAGCGTGCTCACGTGTATTGTGTATATAATGTAAAAAGATGATTTTCGGTTTTTGCTCCTAGCGTAATTTAATGCTAATTTTTATGTAATCGGTTGTTTAATTTTTTTTCTTTCGTTGCATCGCCGCGCGCACAGCACTATACACTCCAGACAACGTCGCTCACAAACAGCTGTCCATTGTCTTTCAAGATTATTATAATATTTTCCTCGTGACGGAAAAATTCGTGTGTGTACAGAGAGAAAAAAATCGATAATCTATATGCCAAAGAGCCGAAGGCTCGAGTTTATAGTCTCAACATTATACGTTACGCATACACGCGCATTATATAAATACTTGAATTTTTTCGTCTGACCGATCGCATATATATGCATCGAGAACTTAATACTTCGGTCAGGAAAGGCATGGATACTATTTTGTTACTATTGTGTGACTGTGACGCAGTAGCGTAACCAGCTATGAGTAATTTTTCCATGTCAAAAAACAAAACTAGCATCGGTGTCGTAAGCTCTCGAGAATATTTACGATTAAGTGATTCAATTAGTTTTTTCTCATTTTTTTCTCTCTCTCTCTCTCTCTCTCTCTCGGCACTCACTCTCTCTTATTTTCCTCTTTCTCTCTATCTTTTTTTCTACAATTCTCGCGCTCCGAGCAAAGTCAACGATAAGAAAAAGAGAGAAAAGTACCGGCAAAGCGATGCGCATGCATAAATAAAACTCGCATGTGTGCGGATGGCACTGGCACTGGCACATAGAGCGAAGGGAAAAAACGCGGAGAGATCTTTCTTGACGCGAAGATTACAATTTGTTCGAAAAATAAGGTCGCATACACGCACGTGCACAAGCGCTGCGCGTCCGAAGAATTATGGGCGAGCTTGCAAGCTCGCGCGAACAATGATATATAAAATAAACTTAAAAAAATACAAAAATTCGAGATGAAATCATTCCAAAATTCATAAGAAGATGACAGATAATTATACAACTGTTTATCGAGATTATATTCCAATGCGAAACATCTCATATTTATAAGCATAATACATAATATATATAGTCACGGCTACAATATAGATATAGCAGTAACAGCAACAGCATCAGCAGCAGAGGCAACCGTGCCGACCTGCGCAATGTGTCAGACTCTTTCAGCTGTGCGCACGTACACACTACCACCAGAATTTCTCTCTCCGTCTCTCTCTATCGCCTATACACACAAGTCTCTCCGACTCTCTCGCGCGCGCGATACGCGCTGCTCTCCGCTCTCGGTGTGTAGTACACAAAGTCTTCGTCGTAGTCGTTCGCATGACAAAAACCCCGCGGTGGCGGCGGACGTCCGCCAGTCTCTTCCGCGGCTACTCAAGGGTAGTTGTTGTCGTCGTGGTAGTCGTAGCCGTTGTAGTGATAGTAGCAACAGCGACTTTCAACGGCTATCGTTCATGCTCGAGTAGAAAAAAGAATTACAAAAATCGAACGTAGTATAACCACCGACAACGAATAATATGTGCGATTGAAATTTGTCTCTTTTCTTTTTTCTTATGCATTAATCTGTATACAAAGTGCAAAAATGCGCGCACGGTTAGAGAAATATGCAGATTACAACAAGTGAATCGACGATACGCGCAGCAGCTTGCATACGAAATCGGTGTGTATCTTTTGATTATTGCTTTTTCTTTTTTTTTTTTTTTTTAATAATCGAGTGCGTCCACAAGCGGCAGAAGTGTTTGTTGTAAAAAAGAAAAAGCGAGGAGAAAAAATTGTTGTGTCTCATTACAGTTCCATCTCAGCAGTCGAGTATAACGAGTGCAAGAAAGAGTGAGAGAAAAAGAGCGAGAGAAAGCGCAAGTAATTATTGTGTCCGATAAGAAATTGACCGATTGAATAAGCTTTCCGAGACACCCCATTTATCGCCGACTGCGCTCGACGCGCATGAAACAGAAAAAAATGGAAGAAGCAGTTTTGTTTTTGTTATTGATACATGCTCGTTCGATAGTCGAATATTATAAGATATAAACTTTTGTGATACACACGTATAAAAAGTCACCGCGACTTGTACCAATCCGCGCGATTGAGTTTATAGTTCACCGTCTCGAGTCTTCGCGTGCAGCGGCTGCAGTGTACGTATACCAGTGTGCGTGAGTTAGGCGCAGAGCTCGTTAAAATGCGGTGAAATAAGTAAAGCTTTTGGTCGGAGGTGATCATCATCATACATAAACACATAATAAACGATGAGAGAAGCGATGATGTACAGGTGGTCGAGCGAATCGCGCGTTCCTCGCGTTGCGGAGCTTGCGTTAACGCGGAGGAGCTATTTTTGATTTTTGCGCGAATTATTATTGTTATTAATATTGCAGCTGCAAGCTCGAGCATATCTTTCGGAGATCTCAAAGATACATACACGAAGTATTACGTACTTGTTCTTGCGTTAGATCGAGCAAAAATTTGTTTTCAAAGTAAACTAATAATCTTTGCAAGAGAGAAAGATAGAGACCGTATAAACACCAGTTCGAGTGGGTCTTGAGCTTTTCTATTTTTTCAAAAACGTTCATTAAAAAAAATCCTTAATGAAAATACATTGTCATCGCGAGTGTCCGCAAGAAAGTTCGCGATTTTATAAAGCAAACATAAGCTCGCGGCTTGCGTTGCCGAGCGTATCTCTTGACACCAGCATAATATATAACGTTAAATCTTTTTCAGCGTTTCGTTATCAAAACCTCGACTCGTAATGTGTATTTCTTTTCCTCTGCTCGAGCGAATTGTATGCACACACATACGAATACGAGCTTTCAAGCGTACATAGTGTGCGAGACTCATTCAGTGATCGATTATAAATTATATTTCGCGAGTCGTATGTGGGCATCTTTTCATTCGACGGCTCTCACACATCACTCGAGTGCATACATCAAATAAACACGAAAGCTCACGCATGCATTTACGCGGCTGCTGACAATAACAGAGAGAGAGTGTGTGTGTGGAGAATCCAAACGCAATCGAGCAGAGGAAAACGTGAGAAATTCCGCAGTTTGGCGATTTTATAATGTAATACAACAATAGTCAATGCACACTTTGCGCTCGCGCACGAATAGATACACTTATTGCAACTTTATATGTATATTGTAGCGGCGTGCAGTATAGTTCATTCGCGCTCACGAGGATTCCTCCGGGGGCAAGTAAGGCAAATATTTATCTAGCAAAATGGCACTAGACTCGACGCGCGCCAATTCACTATCGCTTCTCTCTCTCTCTCTCTCTGTATGCGCGGCTTTATTGTACACAACACTTGGGACTTTTGTTAAAATAGTTATGCCTAGCACATTCATCGAGATCGAAGCCGCAGATAATACCGTATACAGCCGCCCGCTGTAAGCCGCGACTCTTCCATACAGGCATGCAGGGGCGTTGAATTGCAATTCAGTTCATTTTTATATCGAGAAATATATTTTCAAAAGCTTTACTTTTTTCCAAGAATATCTACCACACATATAGATACTCGCACACAATGTAGTTGATTTTGAGAAGGCGCGCGGATTACGTTCGGCAAGGGATGTATAATACGATTTTACTCGGCAAGGGGTGGGCGAGTGTTATTTCAAGTAATAACGCTTTATACAATATATTATAATCACAGGAGCGTATCATGAACTCAAGTGGCATTAGTGAGCCCTGTCAGGCTAAAACATCTAGGCGTCTAAACGCGTGCTCGCTCTCTACGTCGTATCTTATAATTTAAGCTTTATCAAACGGCGCTGCTGTTGCACGACGTCGAGAGTCAACGGCGCGGTGCAGCGCGGCGCTTCTCAATGTATACATCATCGTGCACATGCACACAGGCACTTATATTTACACACGTACACAAGTACACGGTAAACGAATTGCATCGCATCGTGACTGCGCAGCAGAGAAAAGTCGCGTGTGCAAACACGCGAGCAGAGCTGGACCAGATGATCCCCCCGAAACTCCAATCGACGCTCATTTATCGCATTTGTGACAACGAAAAAAAAGGGAGGAGAGTCGAAATTCTCATCAGCGATTGAGCTCGTTATTTGCTTTATTTTTTTGGAAAATAACGGACGTGTGCGTATAAGAGAGAGCAGATACGCGCGTTGTAATCGGTCATTGTAATTGCAAAACTTGCATAATGAAACAGCTGCTGCACGTTTAGGGCGTGTGAATCGTTATACGAATTTATCAAGCGTTATAGCGCGTGGAATTTGCGATGATATATAATCCAGATGTGAAAGTGGTATAACATTCCGGGTGAAACGGAAAAAAATTACTGCCTCTGAATACTGAAATAGAAAAACCGCGTACACATGCCAATTGAGTGAAAAATCGAAGTAAACACAGCACGCTTATAACCAACAGGTATAATCCACGTAATATCACGCTGCGATCGTCTCAACGCAACGTCGAAGACGCCGATTACGATGATTCTGGCACCTCTTGTGAACAGCAGCGGCGGCAGCAGCAGCGAAGTCGATAGCTCGTCTTGGGCTGCAACAGCAGCAGCGGCAATAATGTCATCGCCAACTACGGGCTCGCCCGTGGAAAACGTCAGCAGCTACTACGACGACGTAATAGCGTCAACGATGACGAGTGGAGGCGGCGGCACAGCTCGAACTACTGCAGCACTGGATTACGACGATTTGCCGATGGATATGCGCTTCAACGACAGCCACGTGATCGGCATATCGGTCTACAGCTGCCTCATGATCATCTCGGCGATCGGCAACACGACCGTGCTGAGGCTATTGTTGAGGAGGAAAAGCAATTCGTCGAGGCCGAGAATCAATTGGATGCTCATACATTTGGCAATCGCCGACTTGCTGGTGAGTGGCAGAAATTTTGATTGGATTTCTCCTTCCACCCTTCCCAGTCCGCGAGCTCTTTGACTTACCCCTCGAGAGAGTATTGCATTTGTATACAAGCTGAGCTGTATAAGTTCATAACTTTGCACCAACGCCGTCAAGTTCACGCGGTACAAGTTTTTATTAATATAGGCGCGTTTTAAATTGATTTTCTCACCTCGCTCCCTCGACGACGACTACGTTGACGATGGCGCTCGATGATTTACTGATGTACATAGATAAATGTGAGCGCGCCCGAGCTTTGTGTGTACAGGCCGCAGAGAGCACATATAACACACATCGCCGGGGATCGATCACTTGGGCCAAGTTAATTAACTATTGGGAAGGGGGCTAATATTAGCTCTAGATTCGACGCGATTATCAATGAAAGTTCTCCCGGTCGATCGTCACTTCGTCGAAATAAACATCGCGTCGCGTCGTACTACCCCGCGCGCGCGCGTACGCGTTGCATCCATATTACTAATGATTGAGCAATTTAATCCTCTCTTTGTACATGTATATCTAGTGTATACGGTTTAATAATTACACCAATTAACGAATTAGTTATAAATAAACGAAAATGTGCGGATAAAAAATTAAATAAAAAGTAAAAAGTCGCGACGCAACGATTATCGATGGTAAATCTCGTTTTTACTTTTTTTTAATGAAAAAATTTTGCAAACTCCGTCGTACGAAACCGTACGTAGCTCAAGTGACACACGTTTGACATATATCGATACGCTCGCTCACTTAAATACAACACGTACATTATCTGCTGCAGTTGCGCGCTCGAGTTAATCTTCTGTCATTTATTTCTGTGCAAGCTCGACTCTCTGTACAGTGTACACGTATACGAAAGCTCGCTGTAAGAGGGTTCAAGCGAACGAGAGAGACAGAGAGAGAAAATGTACAAATAAACTCAGATCGATCAATCGACGTTATGTGCCTCGCGTGTTATACGCGCGTATATTATATCGAAACTACAAAGGGAGCTTATCCGGGTGCTAAATTATTTATGAATTAATTTCCGCCCCAACGAGGTATTAAGTAAGTTTCGCTCTGCCATACTTTCAATCATCGCGCGAATACCTCGTATACCACCGGGTATTTTGCATAATTCAAATACACCTGCGAATCATCGCGCGTAGTTGCGCGTACTGTTTATACGTTACGTTTCATAACATATAATTAAAGCACATAAAGCACATTTGCGTGATAGCATATAATGTAATAATAATATATTTTTGTGCCGCACGTAACTCTCTCCCTCTGATATGATTTTATACGCAGGTGACGTTCCTAATGATGCCGATGGAGATCGGCTGGCTGGTGACTGTCTCGTGGGTGGCGGGCGACGCCATGTGCCGGATCATGTCGTTCTTTCGCATGTTCGGCCTCTGCCTGTCGTCCAACATCCTGATCTGCATCAGCGTCGACAGGTATCACGCGGTGAAGCGGCCGCTGTCGATGCTCGACGTCGACAAGCGCGGCAAGTGGATGCTGATCGTGGCCTGGTGCGTCTCGTTCGCCTGCTCGGCGCCCCAGTCCATCGTTTTTCACGTCGAGGCGCATCCCGACTACCCGTGGTACGAGCAGTGCGTGACCTTCAACACGTTCTCGAGCGTGACGCACGAGCGCATCTACGCCGTTTTTGGAATGATCACCATGTACTGGATACCGTTCATCGTCATCATTTACACCTACACGAGCATAATCGTCGAGATGTACAAGAGGTCGAGGAGCACCACCACCGGTAAGTACTACTACGCGCGACGAGGCTATTTATGGAACGATTTATCCATTATCACGCATTATGTATTGCGCCTCTCTCGTGCGGTGCCCATTGTTCCCTTTTGATTAAATGAAAAAAAAGACCTCGGGAACAAACGTGCGTGAGAAAAATGAATTCACACACGCTCTCCTCTATTTTCAGGCATAAGAAGGTCGTCGCTGGGCTTTCTCGGACGAGCTCGAGTACGCACGCTGAAAATGACCATAATCATCGTTTTGGTATTTTTCGTCTGCTGGACGCCTTATTACGTGATGAGCCTGTGGTGCGTATAAAAAACAAAAACAAACAAAGAAAAAATTATACGCGTGCATTCTCCATATCGTCATAAATGCGATGCACGCGCACTCGATATTTTACATGCACCAATTCTACAATCTTCTATAAAATTTCACGTCGACTATGTGTGTATAGGTACTGGATTGATCATCGCACAGCCAAGAACGTCGATCAACGAATACAAAAGGCTCTGTTTCTATTTGCATGCACGAATTCGTGCATGAATCCCATTGTTTACGGGGCTTTCAATATACGCAAAGGCAATAAGGTAAGCTCCAAAATCTCTCTCACTCTATATCTATCTCGCTTTCTCTGCGGGCTATATGTATATAATGCATCTCTCGATGTGTGTATACGTGTGCTCGAGCTCACAAGCTCACAAGCGTGTCGTGCGCACGTGTATATCATCTTGGTTCACGAGCTTTGGAATGCGTGTGTTGTATTAAACCGCTCGAAAATTAATCCTTTTACTTACGATACTAACACAAAAGCTTCTGGACCCTCTCTCTTATTTTTAACCCAAAGCGTAATAAGTGTGTGTGTGTGTCTCCACATCCACATCCGCTTCTTGGTTCTTTTTGACGGAAGCTTTTCAATGAGCGACGAAAGGTATAAATTCGCGAAAATTATTATGGCATTAACCCCGCAGTGCATGACGATATCTATATTTTGCACGTGGCGTAGTCGCGGCTAAAAAAAGGTTTATATAATGGCTGTAATATCGCGGAGAGAAAGAAATATTATCATTTTCCCATTGTCAAACGCTCAAGCATGAATATCTTAAAATAATACACTGACACTTTTTTGGGAGGGTACGTTTGTATTCGCTTGATAAATGGTTTTATACGCGTGCGTAACGCAAAATCATCCATAAACAAACCGGGTTTGATACATAATATAACGAAAAAAAAAAGAAAGAAAGAAGAAATTCAATGAAACGAGTTAGTATTTTTTCTATTGCTTTGGTTGTAGGCACCGGTACGAGCGCCCACCATTGAAACACGAGTGACTCCGCTATCTCTTTCGATTAGACTTATTGCCTGACACAAAACGAGCAAAAAAAATCGCACATATATTTATAATCCATCGCCTTACTTGTATCTGTACATAATATTTTATATATGAAAATAATAATAATAATAATAAGAATACAGAGACGAGCTTTTTCCTCCATTTCAGTATACGAATTGTTGTTCATGTTTATGATTGGAGGGCTTATAAGGACCGCACGTGCATCGATGTAAATAACTTGACTGTGTCCAGAGTAATTATTTTCGTTTACGAGGTCATTGGCATCTAACGCTGTCAATGTGCCTTTATAACAATGATGCTTAAAGATCTCTTTTTTTGTCATTCAACTCATACGCAACTCTTGTACGTTTTTTGACAGAGTTAAAATTTTTCACACCGAATTATATGTACATATCTATAAAAAAATAAAAATGAAAAAGGAAATAACGCAACACGTGCGATACGAAACTTGACATTGCGCACTTGTTGCTGTCTTGACATGGCCATGAAAATCAAAACTGCCATTTGTAAATAATTAAATGTCACACTCGGAGGTAGAAATAGACTCTCCAAATCCAATTATCACCTGAGCAATGTTGATCGATCTTTCATTCTTCACACTTTATACGTTTTGTGATGAGCTCTGTGTGTCTCTTTTAGGTGACCAGAAATTGGGACATTCACACTCTGAAGTGATTCAAGTTTTTAAAATAGAAGCGACTACCGTGATTGATTCAATTTTTCTTTTCTCATAAATTAAATAATTACAACGCTCGTGTTGACCATATGTATAGAAAATATATAAATATTATTTTTTTACCGCATAGACTAGCTCTGTAATAAATAACGCATTATTATAAACGATCGTTCAAACTTGACATTTCTAGTCTACGGCGTGCCCACGTCTTAATTATCATTCTGAATATACATACTTAAACTGGGCATAGAATTTTCGGAGACCTGATAAAAACGATATGAAAAAATTATTATTATTATAATTATTATAATTACAATTGAATACCGTGTTATTCTCGCATTTAGTTTGTACGTTAATTATATTGACAACTAAATAAAATTGTTCCTTGTGTAATTTATAATTTTTTCAAATAAATCAACAAATAATAATCGTTTGGTATAATTTTAATCTGTGTTTTCTTTTTTCTCCTACATTACTCTCGTATTACAGATAACACACTGACATAAATAATTCAAAAAAATAAAACTAAATATCATCTTTATACTTCTCGCTTTTGAATAAATTATTCCTTCCAAAATCGTCCAGTTAAACAAACAGATTTGAGTGAAAAAAAAGCTCTGCGATAATCATGCTTTACGGTATTTCTGACTTACAGTCTAACACAACTTTTCCTTCGTAAAATCATATTTAAGAAAATGAAAAAAGAAGGAAGAAATTTTCGTAGCCGCAGTTCGCCAAGCAATTATCTTAGATACAATGAAAAAAGATTACTCACAACCAAACAAGGACACGACAGAATAAAGCGTGATAATAGACCCGCGCGTGTGTCTCTGCTGTGTGTATATTTGCGTGGCTCTTTCTCCTATAAATCATGCTGCGGCTCTCTCTCAATTCTCCCCTGCCCTTGTCTCTCGCTGATACACAGGACTTATCGTCGTCGCAGCGTCGTATGACGTGCTCCAGCCGTGGTTCGGGTGGCTCAGGCGGCGCCCAAGATCAAGTTTCGACTTGTCGCATCGTCACCTGGCCCCACCATCATCATCATCATAATCATCATCAGAACTCCTATCATCATCAGCACCGGCGCAGGGACTCGAGCAGCACGAGATCGTCGGGTAGCGGGCGTCGGGTGCGCCTGGTGCCCGCGGAAATTACCATACTGCCCAGCGGACGATACGAGACTACGACGACCATCACACTTGCGCTGGATGACATGAACTCGCGTGAGTATAAAATGATATGAGGATAATTTTTTCCAAAGCGTGCGACTTCCATTGTGATCTTCAAATAATATCCCATGCAGGGCTGATTGTCACGGAAAAGAAGAACAACAACATCAGCATCCTCTAATAACTAAGAAAAAGACGCTTTTTAAAAAAAGTGAAATTGTGCCAATTAGTTAACGTAAACATAGTTAGTGGGTAAAACCGTAACGACGTATAAACTTAAAAAAATTATTTATAACAAAACAAAACGTAATAACACACATCGAAACAGACAAGTTTGATAATAATTTTCGAATAATGCAAACGCGAAGAGCGAGTATACATACAGGATCAAGCGAGCGAGAGAGAGACATGTAGATACAAATGCTGTGAAGTGTGTGTGTGTGTGTGTGCAGCTGTGTCGTGACGCATGTGGAAATTGCAAAATTATTAATCATCGTCTCATGCACTTGCTCTCGTACGTGCATACATAATAAATTGCATTATTCGTTCGTAAAAGGTAAATAATTATAAATCCTGCGGAATTCAAAAAGTCGATTCCACCTTATCACGTGTGTGCGGGGTACGTGGGCGCGAGTGTGTGTACGCAGTGAAATGAAGTCAAGCCGAGCGGAGCCGAGTGACGGAAGGATCAACGATTTTCATCGGATGTATACAGCAAAAACGTGGAGGTATGACGATTCAGGTGAGAGCTTCAAAAAAAAAAAATAATTCACTTGCGATAATACAGTAATGGTCTCATCGTGAACCGTTACAATAATAGTTACATCGCCGACGACGAAATTTACAGCCCTCGTGTCCGCTCATCGATCGGAGACTGGCTCGCGAAGAAAAAGGAAGAGGGATAGATAGGCGGTAGCATATGAGCAGTTTTTTCATATATGTACAACTTTTGTGCGGGGGGTTCTCGGATCTGCCCCAAAATTTAGTATGTTATTTGGGTATGTGAAAATAGCCTTCAGGTAAATTTTTAGCCCTCTAGGGGCCTTAGGGCCCAAATTTGGGCCCCTCGAAGGTCCAAAAATAGCCGTTTTTACCTATTTTTGCGTATTATTCAAATATTTGTAACTCGGGCACCGGTGCATATTTTTTAACTCTGAGGGTCGCATTTTTTAGGTCAAGACATGTACTTTTCGTAAAAAAATTATGTAGAGCTCGATAGACCAACCCCCGGTTATGGGGGGGCAATGAAGGGGGATGAAAAATCGCAAAATTGACGTTTTTTAGCTTTTTTTGAATTGATGCAGAAGGCGACTGGATTGACGTATTTACTTTTGCAACGTCTCATTTTAAAGGTATTTTTATTACCTTTAAATTGCCGTGCGCAGAATTAAGATTGGTTCAAAAACGACGGAGATAGAGCTGTTTAAAGGTGTCAACATTATGAAAAAAGGCGTTTTTTCGAGATTTCGATAAGCTGTAACTTTTTTCTAGTAACATGAATCTCTTTGAAATTTTATGTGAAAGTAGTTGATTACATGTAGTTTGAAGCCATGTAGGTAAGGATCTTGGTATTTGCCTCTATAACCGAAAACGAGGCCCCCGAAATCCGGCACTTTAGCCCTTATATAGGCAAAATACATGTTAAATTGGGCGGCAAAACTATTTGGTAACTCCTGAAATTATCGCAAAATAAACATAAAAAAAAAATCAAAAACCCCATATTAAACGTATTTTTCGACGAGGAATCCAATGGTAACCTCGAATTTGACCTTGAACATAACCTCTAAACTATAGCGAACCAAAATTGATTTTTCGCACGGTGACCCCCTTTTTTTATTTCAGATTTGAAAAGAGCGGAAAATTTCACGTTCAAATACATATTTCGTTTTTTTTTTCAAGGTAATTTTAAGGGCCCCACAGTTTGAAAATGAAGGCTCCATTAAAACTAATATTAAACTCAGCCAAAGAGTTTATTCTTGATCTGTGGGGCCCTTAAAATTACCTTGAAAAAAAAAACGAAATATGTATTTGAACGTGAAATTTTCCGCTCTTTTCAAATCTGAAATAAAAAAAGGGGGTCACCGTGCGAAAAATCAATTTTGGTTCGCTATAGTTTAGAGGTTATGTTCAAGGTCAAATTCGAGGTTACCATTGGATTCCTCGTCGAAAAATACGTTTAATATGGGGTTTTTGATTTTTTTTTTATGTTTATTTTGCGATAATTTCAGGAGTTACCAAATAGTTTTGCCGCCCAATTTAACATGTATTTTGCCTATATAAGGGCTAAAGTGCCGGATTTCGGGGGCCTCGTTTTCGGTTATAGAGGCAAATACCAAGATCCTTACCTACATGGCTTCAAACTACATGTAATCAACTACTTTCACATAAAATTTCAAAGAGATTCATGTTACTAGAAAAAAGTTACAGCTTATCGAAATCTCGAAAAAACGCCTTTTTTCATAATGTTGACACCTTTAAACAGCTCTATCTCCGTCGTTTTTGAACCAATCTTAATTCTGCGCACGGCAATTTAAAGGTAATGAAAATACCTTTAAAATGAGACGTTGCAAAAGTAAATACGTCAATCCAGTCGCCTTCTGCATCAATTCAAAAAAAGCTAAAAAACGTCAATTTTGCGATTTTTCATCCCCCTTCATTGCCCCCCCATAACCGGGGGTTGGTCTATCGAGCTCTACATAATTTTTTTACGAAAAGTACATGTCTTGACCTAAAAAATGCGACCCTCAGAGTTAAAAAATATGCACCGGTGCCCGAGTTACAAATATTTGAATAATACGCAAAAATAGGTAAAAACGGCTATTTTTGGACCTTCGAGGGGCCCAAATTTGGGCCCTAAGGCCCCTAGAGGGCTAAAAATTTACCTGAAGGCTATTTTCACATACCCAAATAACATACTAAATTTTGGGGCAGATCCGAGAACCCCCCGCACAAAAGTTGTACATATATGAAAAAACTGCTCATATATATACGAATAATATATATATGCGAATGATAAACTGCGCAACGCGTGCGTATAGGGCTTTCGTCGCGTTACATATACGTATAGAATATAGATAAACGCCGCGCGCACACACATCGCTAATCCGTGAATCCACATGTATTATAATCGTAGGTGTGACAACTTCCCACGTACGCGTACATACGTACGCCACATACATACGCGCGCGTGTATTATACATAATGGTATATCTGGTAGTGGTATACATGCTCTACAGACAGCGACGCGCGAGTCTATGTGCAAGGACGCGTAAATAGCCTGAGCTGAAATTCTAATTTTCTCTGCCGTCGAGGAAAGTCGATTTCATTCATCAGTCGTATTATATACGCGCTTGTCTTAAATATTCATGGGTTATATATTTCAGCGCGAGTGAGAGACGTACATCATGCGTGTGGCGCGGCGGCCTATGTATATACATAAAGTATAATACGTACATCATTGAACTATAAAACTCCACTGCGATCATATACATGTATATTTCTGGTGTGCACGTGCGACTATCTTCCGCTTTTGAATTAGAAATAATAGTTTATAATGTATGTTTATCTTTGCTCGAATCTCCGAGGTACGGCTGAAAAACGTCTACATCAAACGGATGGTATATATTACGAACTTTCTGGAATATCATATCCAAAGGGTGGAATATATCGGAGATTCTCTCCAACTTTGTACTTCAAATATAGCTCGCGGATCAAGGGATGGCAGCTACTGCTTGGCAAATGTTGAGCTGCGTGTAAGCTTGTAATAATGGAAAATCCCGAGGTTTTTACAGAGGCACTTGATTTTTTGCCACCCTGCGCGTATGTTACATTTCATGCATCGGTGTACGCGAGTAATACGTGCAACAGACATTTAGCCAGAGCCTGGCGCGGAGAAGTTAAACGAGCCGAAGAAATCGTGCGCGCGCGTATTGCGTATGGATGACGTTTGTGCTGCTGCTGCTGCTGTTATCGTCGTGAATTCAGTGACAAGGAAAAACATAGTTGCGTTGTCCTCTCTCTCGTTGCGCATCACCACCACCAACCCGTCATACATCGCCACCCACAATGCCATTTGGTATATTAAACGCTCGAGTCGTGCAGTCGTTTCGCTTCTTCTTCCGCTCTTTAAAATATTCTTTCGAAAAAAATCGATACTTATCGCTATTGACTTTTTTTTCTTTTTTTTTAATTGTAAAGTTCACATGTATGCAACAAAGCATACACATTTTAATCGGTGGATCCTTAAATTCAACCAAGCGCACGTAATCGATATCGACAATAATATCCCAGGTAGAAGTATTCAACAATAATAATGGCCCAGTAACCAAAAAATAACCATTTCAAATGTTTCAAAATATATTAATATTGATTGGCTAATTACTTTTTGCAATTTTTTTTACAATTGGATTACGCATTTCCGTTTGTATACCCCACTGCATATACAGATTAATTTCAAAACAGTGCTTCAACTTATAATAGTATATTTCTCAACGGGTGCACATATGGTTTTTTAGCAAAACGAGGGATTATAGCACGAGCCGAAGGCGAGTGCTGTAACGAGTTTTGTTAAAAAACCATATCTGCACCAGTTTGAGATAATATTTTTTCCTACGAGAGCCTAAAATTAGCGGCAAAGTTGCGTATTTTAGGTTAGAGTGGGGAAAAATTATTTTCACTTTAGCACTTGCAGATATATCGATAAAAGTGCTCGCCATCTAGCGGTAAAAACTTCAGATGTTTTGTTACAGATAAATTTCAAAATTGTACTTTAACTTATACAATTATTTTCACTTTAGCACTTATAGATATATCGATAAAAGAGCTCTCCATCTAGTGGCGAAGACTTCAGAGGTTACATAGCTTTGCAAGAAGAAAAACAATATTTTTTTTCATAAAGTTATTATTCAAAAACCAAAGGTCACATTGATTTGAAATGTATACCCAATAAAGTTTGTTATTTGCAAAAAGTTTTAATTGAAAATCGGTTCATGACTAAACGAAGAAATCGAAAAAAAGTTACACTGATAATTTGACGCGAGTTTAAATAAATTTTTGACGCATATTTTTAATCGTTCGTCAAATTTTGATCATTTTTCTCACTTTCTTATTAAATAAAACAAAAAAAAGTTGAAAGGCTTAGAATCCCTTCATTCAATCACGAGGCAAGGGTATAAACTTCAAGAAAAATATCCACTTTTTGATTTCAGATGATCCTGCACCAAAGTATCCTTCACACCGTATAAAAATACTATTTCAAAGAAGAATTTAAATCAAGCTGACTTTTAGTTTTTGAAGTATAATTTTATTATAACCAAATTTTACAAAGCAATGAAACCTATTAAACATTCGCGGTCAGGTGGTGAGTATACCTCTATACGAATAAATCTGCAAGTGGAAAAGTAAAAGTAATTGTATATAAGTCAATACACACAGTTTTAAGACACGATCGAAAGGACTGAGGGCACTCCGATGTGATTCAATTTTTATCATAAAATGTTAAAAAAGACGTTATACTTTTGGGTCGTTTATGCCCACTTACATTGACCCTTTTTTATGTCCGAAAAACTTCACAAAGCAAGCCATTAATTTTTCATTATCTCTAACAGGGATTCGAAGAGTCTGAACAACGGAGCTTATTTAGTGTTGAATTGCGAATGATGCATCACGCGCGATCACTGCCCTCAATCATTTCATTTGTATCCCTAATATTGCTCAGCAGCTCATTTTGCGATACGAAAGGGTGCGTAAATTCACGTAAATAGCATGTGCGCGTGATTTCTTTTTTGCAGCTAAATCAGCCTCCTCCACGCGACGTGTACAATTCCGTCAATGAAGAGCAAATATACGTACGTCCGAGATTCGGATGATCGATGCGCCAGGATTGTACGTGACACCATCAGCTATTCATGCCGGAGGAAGAATCGTGAGATGCGTATAGTAGCAGCAGCAGCAGCAGCGGCAGAAGAGCACGAGCTTTATATTCCGCTCCCTGTCGTGCATATAGGTACTGTGCATTTTACATACATTGCCATCACACAGACGCGCGATCTTCGCTCGCTGCACAGAAAACTCGACTTGTGTACGTACGCGTCTATACGGAATAAAGTCGCTTCTTCGTTATTTTGGTTCTCCGGGCGAAAGAGGCCCACTTCACGAGACGATATATTCCAAAAATACACCATGCGTGCATAGGCTCAAGTGCACCATCAATTCGTGTCGTGCGAGCCTCTCTTGGCTCTCGCATTATTACACAAACACATACATCTTCGCGCTACTCTCAATATTATTGTCAACGCCCGATGCTCGTTTGTGTGGCCCTAAAACCACAACCGCATCGGTCAGCGGGGCATGGAAAAAAAGAAGGAAAGGAGGAAATATTTAAGCTCAAAGCGGTGGAGCTAATAAGCGTCGTATATCTCTTGAGCTGTACTATTCGAGAAAAACATCGCGAGTAAGAGTGAGAGAAACGACGACGACGGCGACGACGACGATGATGATCGGCTCGATGGTTTAGCCGAGCTGCTGCTGCTGGTGTATAAGCTGCCGCGAGCGGGGTCGCTGAGTAGGCGCCGTATAAAACTGCTCTCGAGCGGCCGCAGGCACTCCAGTTAGCGTCCGCGGGGGGAGATCTCAACACATTGCCGAGCCGCTCGCGTGGCTCGTGATACGATACACAATACAACTTTGGTACGCCGCGGTCTATGTGTGTTTTTATCTATATATAATACATACCGTTTATACGTGTGTATGTGGTGTGCGTGCGAGTGAGCGCGAGCGAGAGAGAGACTGTTTTTTTTTTCTTCTTCGTCAGTTTCTTCTTGTTCTTCTTTTTTTTTCATTTCCTCTGTTTTTTTTCTGTTTCTCTTTCTCGGACCAGTAGCAGCAGCAACAGCACCGGCAGTAACAGCATCAGTCAGTGAGATACACAGCTTTTTTTTGGAGAGAGAGCGAGACGGCCAGTAAGCTGTTTAAACGTGGCCTGAGTGTTGTTCGGTGCGTGAGTGAATTCTATTTCCACGCAATTTTTTTTATTCAACCAAGTATAGCTTCACGAGCAAAAAAAAGCAGCCAAGCAGTAATTAATAAAGTGCATTTTAGTGTATAGATTCGCTCTGTATATAGTATTTCATTGCGCGGCGAATTCGCCCATTGATCTCGGCCAAGCGGATGGAGCTTAAGAAAGAGATTTTTTGCTTCCTGTTAATTGGATTGTTCTGCTATTACTTTTGGAGCTTTTATCAATTGTGTGGAACAGTGACAACACCTTTTTTTTGTCTATTTATTTTTTCCTCGATCGTTAAAAAAAAGTTCGTTATGAAAAGTACGTGCACGCGTTCAATCATACATTTTGATCACGAATTTCGGAACGAAAAGCGTAGAAATTGCGTTTGTACGCGCGCGTTGGATAAACCACATCAATCAATTCTGTGAATCGACGCTTAATATCATTTGCACAAATCAGAAATGATGACACAGTACGTGTGTACCTCTCTAATTCTCTCTTTTCACGTAAAATATTTCGCGTTCGGCAATCGTTTGTTCCTGTTCTATCTTAAAAATGCACAATTCGAGCTTTACTGATTTTCTCTACTGTACATAAAAAAATCACAACATTTTAAAAAAACAACAACGTCTACGAGCAAAAAAATGTTAATTTGATGCAGATCTGGTCCGGAGCACCGTCGACATGCGAGGAATCGCCACAATCGCCCTCTTCGTGGCACTCGCCACCTTATGTAGCTCGAACCTCATGCCAGATCAAGGTGAGTGCAGAATAAAAAATTTATACATAATTTACGGGGAAAAAAATTTCGTGCCGTAACATCGTCAACGTCCGTAAAGAAATTCTGCAAAAAAACAAAAAAAAATAGTTTCATCGGTCGTGAATTCGCGCGCGCGCGCATCTAAAAGCGTATACAGACAGCAGACAGACCCACGCGTCGTCGTCGTCGTCGTCGTCGGCGGCGGCCTACGACGGGACACCGGAGCTTTTATAATCTCGGCTAAACTTTAAAATCAACGAATATAGGATGAGCTATGTGTTGCTGGCCACGCGCGCGTAATACATTGAATGTAAACACACGGTATAGAAGCTGCAACAGCATATGAACATCAAGGGGCCGACGTAGTGCACAGAGAGAGAGAGCCGAGAGATGCATATTTAAATAGCTAACGCTGCGGCGTATGGGTTTAAACTGGAGACTGCTGCCTTAATAATTAGGCCATGCCCAGGGGACGAGATGACTTTTTAGCCGCTTTACATTTAGACTCGTACGACGTACGTCGCCGTCTTATGTCGCATCTTCGCGTCTTGATGCGCGTGTGTGTGTGTTTTAACTTAGGTTTTGCGAGCTTTAACGGCCGTGACAAACGCAGCTACGCTTTATTTTCCTTCCTCGAGCCCGGAGCTCCCCCATATATACACATATCTTCTATATACAAAAACTTTCACTGATGCGCCAAAAGCCGTACGGCGAGCAGCGGGTGGCTCGAAAGAAAGCGTCGCGCGCTAAATACGCATCAAACGGTCGTGAACGAACATTTTAAATAAAGCAGGAGGAAATCTGCTCTAGCGAGCTTGCAATGGATGCTCGAGAGCGATAATATAAGAGACAATAATTCTTGATACTCTCTCTGTCTCTCCAAAAGAGCGTGGATCTATAAAAGTGTTAAATGTATACGAGTATCGGAAACCCGTCCGGTGGCCTTTTTTATAAGCGCGTACAAAAAAAAAGTCGCGATCTTGCGCCTCGTGTTCGATAGCTAGTATTATAGTATAGTCAAGATCGTTCGCGCGCGCTCGCGTCATGCGCCTTGGGTCAATCAACTCGAGAACGCGTATACACCCCGCTACGTCGATAATTCCCTATTTAACTCGATCTGCCTCGTTCAATTTCATTATTATTTATTTCGTCTCTTTTTTTTTCATTATTTTACTCGACGATCGATCGATCTCGAACGATGTCACTGAAACTGTACGATTGTCGTTTAAGGCTTGAGCCTGCTACTGAAAGATGCCCTCCACGACGACGAGTTCGCGATAACGCTGAACCACGTGAAGGCGAAAAAGAAGGTCGGTGCCAACATCGAGACCTTCTTCGCCGCCGAGTACGAGAACTCCAAGCACAAGTTCATCCTCATGTTGGATAGACGAGCCAAGAGAGGTACGTATAGATACACATACCATCGCAAATCGAGCGTGGATCAGCACGAATTAACGATTAACTGCCTGCAGTGATTCTCGAGACGACCGTGGACAATCAGAAGCATCGCGAACACATAATAGCCGACAGTCTGGACATAAGCGAGCCGTTCAAGAGTCTGATACTGGTGGTGGATCAGAAAGAGCCCAACGCCAAGCTCGAGGTCTTCGTCGATTGTCAGCACCAGGGCCAGATTCCGCTTCAGAGGACGCTGCGCCAGCTGGCCTCGAGGGCCGCCGATTTGCCCCTCGAAGTGGTAAGATGTTCGACGCGCGTCTTAATGATCTGATCATTCTCTATCTCTGCTCCCTGCCTACATCCGATTGACACAGGAAATCGTGGATCAGAGCTGATCGAGCGCGAAATTCTATTTTAAGTAGCCCTAAGGGACACTGTTTGTAGCGGTTGCCTCGTCGTCGTCATCGTCGTCGTCGAGCTTCGGCGAAAATTCCAAAACTCTCGGCCTGTCTAAAATGAGCTTTTCGTATTAGCTTAAAAAACGAAAGTCGTTACCGCGTAGAACGATACACTTATTTTTCCTCTCTCTGTTGAAAAATATTTCACGGAAAGAAAAAATTATTCGCTATCGAGAGAAAGAAAAATCCACGCTGTAATTAGCGACGTGTTAAACTCAAACTGTCAATTCGAGGATAAAAATAATTTCCAAAGGCAGGAAAATAATGTCTAGATATAATTAGCTTTTTAAAGAGTCATTAAAAAAAAGGCACCAAGTGCGTGTGACACAATCCCCGTAATTTATCAACTAACACCACGAAAGTTCCCACTTATGCGGACGAGAGATATGACTATCGCGCTGTAATGGATTTCGCCACCTGCATTAATAAAGTCCCTATTATTGGCAACTTAAATAACAGCGTAAGAGGTGTACATTAACTCAGCCACACAGTACGAGATCTGGATCTATGTATAAGAAACTCAGAGTGCAACTTGTTTTCATATATATATGAAAACGTGGGCCGAGGTCTCGCTCGCCAAATACGGCATCTTCCCGAGCCGCCGCAGCCGCCGTCGTTCATCATTGTTATTATTATGCATGCAGCACACTGTGCACACAGTGTACTGCACTTACTTAACAACTCGTAGCCGTGACCGGTATTATGCTACTGCTACACGTGATGCATCGGCGCGCAGCATAGCTCCCATACAAAACCTTGCCTTATTTGCGCGAGATGCTCGTATATGTCGCGTGGCTATTTATTTTTATTTACTTACTTTTTTTTTGTCGCGTCGACTCGGCTCAATTTGTGTCGATTGTTCGGAGTCGTTTGAAATTCACGTGGTCGAATTTCATTTACTTTTTCCGGAATTAAATTGAAAATTCTTGTAATCGAAGAAAAACAAGAAAAAGTAAAAGAGAAGCTCACCGTACAAATGAATTTTTTTTCTCGTCCTCTTCTTCTCGGCCCTGCGCTGCTCGTCGTCTTCTCTCTCCGCACGCGTAGCTACGTGAGCGTCGCTACAAAACGAGGATCTACCGAGGCGGAGATATCGAGGGGGCATTACTTCGAGAAAATTGCAGTCGCACGACGCTGCGCGACATCGACGAGATACTCCACCAAGATGGTTATCGTCATCACAGCGGCGGACAACAACACGATCACGAGTACGGAGCCAACATGACGACAACTGCACTGCTGGACGATCAGACGACGAGGGTTCGTCGGCGGGGTGACATTCCCGGCGAGTTTCCGCCGCTCATCGATATTAATGGTTATTATTTATGCCTGAATTGTTTCGCTGCTACTTTGTTTTTCATTTTCTTCTCTCATTCCGCATTCGTTCCCGCGCGAGAGAACGAACGGATTAATTAATTTTTATCCGAGAAATTCGAATGAAAATAATATACGCAGTAAAAGCGTATCGCGCGACCTGCCACGTGCGAATGCACCTATATATACACGCTTTATAATTGGGAAATTGGAAATCAATTTATGAAAACTCGTCTTTTTTTCTCTGTTTTTCTACTTGGCAGGATGCCTCAGCGACGAAGTGATGGCGAAAACTCTGAATCTGCTGATAGACGCTATCAAAAAGATGTGGACCAAATTGGATCTGAACGTAAGCTAGACACCGACACCCCCGCGGGTGTAACGCGTCGCGTCACCTGCCCGACAGGCAGGCGGCTATCTATTCAATCTATCATGAAAACCGTTAACTAACACAGTTGCCTCGCGCATAATTTACAGCTCGGCGAGACGAAGCGTATTCGCGAACTGCTGGAGAACTGCGCAGCTTGTCACGAGAAACCGACGCGTGAGTATAACTAATTTATGTATTATGTACCTTGGCGCTCGCTTGCGCGCACAGCACACTTTTAATATTGTTTCCTGCAGCGCGCTGCAACTGTCGTTGACCACATTACTCACCCGCGCGTTCTTAAACCTAGCTCTTACTTCGAGATCGCTGTATCGTATTTTATATATTATTTGTGCAGCTCCACCGCCGCCACCGCGAAGCTGCAGCTACATGTCGCCCTGCTTCCCCGGAGCGGACTGCCGAGACACCCCCGCCGGACCTCAGTGTCTGCGCTGCCCGAGCGGCTACCAGGGTGACGGCCGCAACTGCCGACGACTGCCCAGCTGCAAGGACCATCCGTGCTTCGACGGCGTCGAGTGCATGGACACCGCCACTGGATTCGTGTAAGTTACAAAATTCAACGGAATAACCATCGTGAAAATGATCGACATTGATAATGGCCTAATTACAAAAAGTGACCGTTTAAATGTTTCAAATTCTATATCTATATTGACCTATTTTTGGCGATTTTTGGCCGGAAATATTAAGCGCATTGTAAGATAAACGAAAAATTACGATTTACTATTTTCAAAAAATTTAGACCAGTTTTTAGCCACTTTAAATACGATAATACGACTTTGAGCATCCACCACTAGATGGCGAGTGCCTTTATCTGTAAATCTGCAAGTGGCAAAGTCAAAATAAATGTATAAGTCACCAAATCACAAATGCATAAGCTATTAATAAACTGCTGTCAAATGTAGCTTTGGATAACTTGCGACTAATTCAAGTGGTCCTTTCAAGTCCGAAAAACTTTTTCGTTAAATGTTGAACTGGGGAAGAAGTAAAAAATTGAGTATAAGGGTGTCGGTGAGGGAGGAGGAGGAACTCCCGAGTAAAGGTGACCTTTGGCCAAGCGAGACGCGTAATTATCTCAAGGTCGAGCTTTCCTTTCCTCGCCTTCCCCGATACCTTTTCCCTCTACGTCGTAAATAACTAATGAAAAAAAGAAGACAAAAAACTGTATCGCCTATTTTTTTTTCTCTCTCTCTTTCTCTCAGTTGCGGCTCGTGCCCGCGCGGCTACACCGGCAACGGCCAGCACTGCGAGCGCATCAACGGCTGCCAGCCGAATCCGTGCTTCCCCCAGGTGGCCTGCACCCCGATGACGGTGCCGCCGTTCTATCGCTGCGGCGGCTGTCCCCTCGGCTACCACGGCAACGGCCTCAATTGCCAACGCGAGGACGAGTGCGACCTGGCCAAGCCGTGCTGGCAGGGCGTCAGATGCTACAAATTTGATCACGGATACAGGTGAGAAAGAAAAAACTTTGTTGGCTCCCTTTTTTTCTTTATTTTTTTCTTTTTTTTTTGTTCCGTGCCCCGATACTACACCGCCGCTGCCGTTGTTTAGTTTTTAATTCGCGAAAGTTCGAGCTTTCTGGTGCTGCTGCAGTGTAGCGAGTGAGAAAAAAGAAGTATCAAAGTACACTGGCTGATTTCGTAATATATGAGAGAGAACGAGATGTCGGCGCGAAGAAGTTTGATTAGTTTTTCTCCAACTACACATATATGTCTGTATACGTATGTGAGTGTTGTGATAAAAGTGAAAAAACAAAGGCGTCCAATGCGCACGACTGCAGTAATATGTCGCGTGTATCGACTCTGTTTTTATTTTCTCTCATCTTTGTCCAATATAACGCGCGATTCATCAAAAAAAAGTAAAACAGTTCAACCTTAATTTTTCTCGCTCTTAATTTTCTCGTCTTGGTTTCCACGATCGCCCGCCAAATAATTGATGGCGATTCATGACAAATCTACGTAATTCATAAATGTCTCTGCATTTGTTTGATGTAGATGCGACTCCTGTCCTGAGGGCATGACGGGCAACGTGTCGGAGGGCCGTGGCATCGAGTACGCGCGCACCCATCGCCAGTACTGCTACAGAATTGACCCGTGCAGCGACAACAACGGAGGATGCGTCGAAAACTCGGATTGCTACAACTCCGAGGTGATTTGCACGTGAATACAAAAACAAATACACACACTTACGATAAAATAAAAAAAATAAATCCGCGTCATGTTCATATTTTTAAGTTTTGAACAATTTTATCAAGCTCTCTATTTCTCTCGGACTCTAATTTCTTTCTATTAATCTCGCGCGTCTAATTTTTTTTCCTCGAGTTTCATCGTGTGTAATTTTCTCAACGACAATGCGATAATTAATAAGTTACCATTTATTGCTTTCTCGTTCAATTGTTCATTCATGTGTCTATACGATTCATTAGGCTAATAATGCGTACTATTTATTTCGAGAAAGACAAATGTGTGTGTAATATCGCGCACTATTCGCTACGTCATGTAAAATATCTCCATTTTTTCTACTTCTTCTCTTCCATACGATTATGATTATTATTATATTCTTAAGTCAATGCATCTATTTTTACTTGTATATCTTTTGAGAACAAAATGCGAAACAAAAATCGACATTTTAATTTATAAAAATAAGGCAAAATTATAATTTCCATGCGTATGAAAAAAATGCAGGAACATATAAAAAAAGAAAAAGGAAAGAAAATCTTGGGTTTCTTTATTCTTCCTCACCACAATTCTCTCTGTCCTTTAAGTCGTAATTTTGTTATGAGGTTCGACAGTAACTTATTTTTGTCGCGCGAAGTGAATGTATACACTGCTATATTGCTATTACTGTTATCACCATTTGCCATGTTTTTTTTCTTACTACGTACTTCGTTGATTTATAGTAAACGTTATTTTGCTTATCCTTTTTTTCGACCGAACCTTATAACTCAATTTTGGAGAGGAAGTTAGATTCAAGATTAACGACTTCTTTGTACATATTTTTGTTGAAAATATCTTTTAAGCATGAGGGATTATTTTTACTCTAGTTTATTTGTATTTGACCGTAAGTCGTTAAGCTTGCTCAAGTTTTCTCTCCTTCCTAATTTTACAAACAATTATATATATCTGGATGTTTTTCTTCGACTGTAGTTTCTATTAAGCAAGTAAGTTTTCAACTCATTCATTCGTCATCAGCATTGATTTTTTTTCTCTATCGGCCTCTGTTGCACACCCGCTGAAAAAGTACATTTACTAACCAACTCGCCACATCCACGGCTGATGTTATTTTTTTAACATAAAAGTGTCGTCGAGCAAAAAGCGCACGGCATACATAAGTCAGCGAGCTGCGAGCTGCTAGTCAAAGAACGAGCGGCTGCTGTGAAAGCAATATATATATCTCAGAAAAGTGTAAAGAAATTTATTCACACATAGGGAATCGCAAGATGCGGACCATGCAAAGAAGGTTTCGACGGAAATCAGACGGTAGGCTGCTATCCACGCCACGATATCTGTGGCGACGGAATAACGAGATGCGACCATAACGCTGATTGCATCTGCGTAGCTGTCGATCAATATTTGTGCAGGGTAATTATCACAAAAAAGCGTGTGTTGGATAAAAAAAGCGAAAAGATTAAAAATCAATTTAACGCGCGTGGCCGCTTTTGTCGACTGAGCTTTTCTCTTCCTTTTCTTCTCACCCAGGAAAAAAGGACTTTGAATTGCCGTCGACAAAAAGTGAGCCGACCTTTATGCCTGAGCTTATGCGTTTAACAGTGTATAATATAGAAAAGTCTGGCGTTAACGCGCAAAGAGATGAAGCTATTGGTTACTTCAAAAAGTTTTTTTATTTTTTTACTTCATTCATGTTAATGACTGCATGAGTCTCACCGTATATAGACTCGTTCTACTTGTGACATTGAAAAGAAAAAAAATTCATAGAAACGTCACGTTATAATAATTTCAATTTTTCGGGTCTAATAATTACTTAAAAAACGTAATTATATATCTTTACGCAATTTACTTACAAAGTTCCATGATACTTTAAAGACTTATAAGAGTATTTAATATATTAGGAATCTGCGTAACATATTTAAAAAACTTTTTGAGCTCTCAAAAGTTGAACTCGAGAGATTCTTCCTTGTAACTTCGAGTACTTTTACGTGTCCATCGCATCACTCTTGACACTAACAGCACTTTTCGTTTCAACCATTACGTTATATATGCCGTTTAATATTTCAAAAATGCGCCGCAACTAATCATCTTTTTGTAACTCTCTCTCTTTCTTTTAAAAGTTTGAAAAAAAAAAACAAAACATAAAATATCACGAGCCCGAAAAAAAAACTAATAAATCATCCCTGGTCGTGGCGCCAATCGGGTGTATACTCTACCTTGGGCCAATAGTGTAACGTAGGTTGGGCGGGCGACGGCCAGACCTGCGGCATCGACTCCGACAGCGACGGCTATCCCGACGAGGCGCTCAACTGCCAGGACCAGCACTGCCGGGCCGACAACTGCCCGAAGACGCCCAACAGCGGCCAGGAGGACGCCGACGGGGATGGCCTCGGCAACGCCTGCGACGACGACGCCGATAACGACAACGTGCTCAATCTGTCGGACAATTGTCCGCTGATTGCCAACAGCGATCAGGCCGACAGCGATCACGAGGGGCCCGACGACATCGGCGACGTCTGCGACAATTGCCCGTACGTGAAGAATACGAATCAGCACGACACGGACGGCGACGGTATCGGTGACGCCTGCGACGACGACATCGATAACGACGGTAAACGATTTTTTTGGGCAAAAAAACAACCGGAAATGATTGTTTTCAATCGTTGATTTTACGCCGCAGGTATTCTAAACATGAACGACAACTGCCCGAAAGTCTTCAACGACGACCAGATGGACTTCGATCACGACGGCATCGGCGACGTGTGCGACAACTGTCCGCGAATCTCGAACGCCGATCAGCGCGACGAGGACGGCGACAAGGTCGGCGACGTCTGCGACAATAACAGCGATCGCGACAAGGACGGCATACAGGACGACATCGACAACTGCATCGACGTGCCGAATCCTGGACAGACGGACTCGGATCAGGACGGCCTCGGCGACGAGTGCGACGCCGACATCGACAACGATCGCGTGCCCAACGAAAACGACAACTGCCTCTACGTGTACAATCCAGATCAGCTGGATGTTAATGGTTATTATAACAGACAACTATATAATTGGAAATAATTGAGTCATTATTGATTATTTTTACCATTAAAATATAGGCGATGGAATCGGTGACGCCTGCTTCAACGACAACGATAACGACCAGGTTGAAAATCTCATCGACATTTGCCCGAACAACAGCCGCGTCTGGGCCACGGACTTCCGCAAGTATGACACCATAGCCCTGGACCCGCACGGCGCCACCCAAGAGGATCCCATATGGGAGATCCATCACAACGGCTCGGAGATCTATCAAACACTGAATAGCGACCCTGGCATCGCCGTAGGCTTCGACAGCTTCAGCGGTGTCGACTTCGAGGGTACCTTCTTCGTCAACACGGACATCGACGACGACTACGTCGGCTTCGTCTTCTCCTACCAGAACACCCGTCAATTCTACACAGTGATGTGGAAGAAAGTACTTCAAACTTATTGGGAGCCCATGCCTTTCCGCGCCATCGCCGAAACTGGCATACAGCTCAAACTCGTCGACTCTAAAACCGGACCGGGCGAGCATCTGCGCAACGCCCTATGGCACACGGGCAACACTCGCGAGCAGGTCAAATTGCTTTGGAAAGATCCACGTAAGGTCGGCTGGAAGCAGTACACGCCCTACAGGTGGCGACTCATTCACCGGCCAAGAATCGGTCTGATTCGACTCTGGATCTACGAGGGCCAGCGGCTCATCGCCGACTCGGGCAACAATTTCGACTCGACCTTGAAGGGTGGCCGACTCGGTGTCTTTGCCTTCTCCCAGCAGATGGTGCTCTGGTCCAATCTAAGATACACGTGCAAAGGTGAGGGAATTTAATAATGCAATAATCGAGTTTATTGAGTAATTCAACTGTTTTTATTGAGATAAACACCATAATTCTCATTTCGATCATCACACTTGTTTTGTCGTTTTTTTTCTGTTTGTTTGTTTTGTTATCATAATAATACATTATCTTATTTAATTATATGCGTGCTTTTAAATTTATAATTATATTATCTCACAAATATGTTGTTTTTTTTTATGCATCTATAATATTTGCGAAAAATATGTTCAAATCATATTTACTCGTTCATGTGAGTATCTTATTTATCAATATTTAGATAATAACACTTTCTCTCTCTTTTTTCATGTGTGTGTTTCATAAATCGTGCGCAGAGACCGTGCCCTTCGAAGTGTACCGTACTCTGCCGCCCAACATCCAATCTCAGGTCCACACCGACTATAATCGTCCGTGAAAAGCTCGGCTCGCAAGCTCTGCAGTAGCAAGGGCCGCAGGCTGAATTATTACGCACCGCCGCAGTACTCAGTACCCGCACCACACCACTACCACCACGCACGGCGTCACACACACACACACACACACACACACCGTTATATTTGTCTGTCTAAATAATAATGGTAGTACGTCGTTATTATTTTTATTTTTAATTTTTTTTATTTTACTTTAAATTATCATTATTATCGTAACGCACGCTCGGCGAGAGCATGTTTTTTTTTGTATTATGTAAAGACAGAGAGCGTGGCAGCGTTTTTTTAATTAAGTTTATTTCACCTTCTTTCTTTTTGTATTTATAATTTGAAATTATTTAATTTCTCCATTTAAATATATATTCATATATATTATGTATGTCTAATATATATCACGTGGAATGATACATAAATAGATCTCCAGCGACGGATCGTCGTTGTCAGTTGTGTATGTCAACCTCTTTTAAATTTGCATTTTTCCCTTTTTAATTTTCATGACTGTAGCCATATTATTATTATTGTTATTATTGTAATTATAATTATTATCATTAAATAATAATAGCATCTTTTTGTCGCTCACATACCAACTTTCGATAGACGGACACACATACATGATTTTTCGTGTAAATATAGAGAATCAAATACCCTATTTTTTCTGCATCGGAGAAAAAAGCTCATTATCTCTGGGAAAATATGAGCTTGAAAAAGAGAATAATAATAAGAATAATAATAATATGTGACTAAACGATGACAAGTGTGAATTAATCTTATCTTAATTGTAATAATTTTTTTATCGTGTGTTTTCGAAAATGTATAGTGTTTAAAAATGTCACGACTGTGTGTATATTTAAATTGATTATTATCATAATTATTTATGCACATCGTGGAGGGGAAATAGCTGTATATTAAGTGTGAAGACTAGCCATAATAAATGTAATAATCGTGTCGATGCATAATACGATTTTTTTTCATTATATTTTTTCTCCGATTTTCTGACTTACGAATGAGTTTTATTATTGATTTAGAAATTTTCTGATTTGATAAAATTTTTGTAAATTTATGAAAGAGGAAGAATATTGTGAAAAATCGATTATTGATATGACTGCATCGTTAATAGAGTTTTTTGTAAAATAATAATAAACGTAGTGTGTATTCTTCAGAGATTAAGACAAAAAAATAAAGAAAGAGATTCACAATAAATTTTACAACGAATGAACGATGGAGTATCGAATGCATCTTTATCTAAAGTTACCACCCCGTTAATTTTTATTTCGATTATGAAAATGTGTCAATAAAAATTATAAAAAGAAATCTAAGAGATCGTAATACCTATGCGATCGTCATTATGCGTTTATGTAAACGATATACGCGGTGACTTTTATTATTATTGTTATCATTATTATAATGTCATTATTTTGTATCGGTATTCAAAGTTTGCAAGTTGTTTTTTTTTCTTTAACAATACCAAATATACAATAATAACAATACATGGTACAATTATTTAATTTTATACGACTTTTTCATTTTGTCTCGAATCTTATTTCATAAATGTATGTATTTGATCCTCGCATCGCAGGCTGCAATTCATATACCTATTACTTTTTTTCTCCAAATTTATGTTTAATAATAAAAGTCGTATAACTGGCTACGCATTTTACAATAGAATCGCAGTTATTCGAAATTGACGCAGACAGTCTTGGGTGCAACAAAGTCACCTATGTATATTCTCGTTTCAAATGCAATTCACTGCACACGAGATCGACAAAAATCGGTCAACTTTATTATTCCGTTGGAACATTTTTTCTTCGTCGTGTCATACATTTTGCTCGTTTTATCGTTTTTCTGTTTGTTCATTCGCACGTATCGATGGAGTCGCAATGACAACAATCGAGTGCTCGTGTTAAGATATTATGTTGTATATCGTAAGTGATAAAATTGTTACAACATTGACTTTTTCGCTGAAGCATTTTTGCAGAAAATACCGTTAGTATTCATTAAATTCCGGACGTTAATTGAGCACATGTTTCGAGAGATCGATAAATATCATTGTAAATTTGATTTTGTCAGTTTGTGGCGCTTTCATAATTACATATCATTAATCACGAAGATGGCTGGAGGGATAACGAATGAATGCCCTTGTCTTGAACGGTTTTTTTTAAAAATACTTTTTTTTTGCCTCACCGTTTTCTTGATATCTTTTAACAATAAATGCGACACCGCTTTTATTACACATACGAACACATATCCACCGATCGTACAATTATGTTTTTACTTGCGGCTCGGTCTTCACCCCGCATAATTATTACATCAACTTGTGCGATGAATATAATTATAATTATTATTGTTTGTTATTATTTCATAATTAATTTTTATCTGTACTCTTAGAATCTTTATAAATATTCGCTACCGAAAAAAATGATGCATAAATTAAGTTATTTGTTCTGCGATCATATTAACTATATACATTTAAAAGGAAATAATTTAGTAATACACTTGTACGATTTGTTGAATGTATAATTTTTTTACGAGGATTAAAACATTACAGGATTTCTTGTACTGAAATTTCAGATTCGAATGCGAATAACATGAGTTCGTACGATTATTATCGGCACGCTCTCTATATTTTCTTCTACATATATATATTTTTTAAATGTCTAAGACGAACCAGCCGCCTTTGCTACTTTATACATAATAAATATAATTCAGTAATGAGACCCTTGACGAGAGCGCGTGGCAGTGTTCACACTTATAAATCGCGATAAATATATATTTTATTTATGAATTATATCTTTTTTTTGTTTCAAAGGGCAGTTTATTATAAATTTCATCAATTCATCATCAGATTTATTATTAATGATAATGATAATGATAATAATTATAATAATAACGATAATATTTTCTTTCATACTTTGGAATTTTTCAATTGTCTTTAATAACTTTTCTGTTACACAGTGCGTCTAGTAATCTGTAATACATTTGACATAATTATATTTATCTCCATCCGGACGTATTTTTATTATACAATTACTTTTTTCTGAAATATATAATTCATTTTGTTTGAGAACTCAGCTGATGCTTTACATATTGTAATGTACTACAAAAAATTAATAGTCGAGTGTAAACGTGTGCGTATATGTGCATGTCTTTTTACTGGTACAACATTGTATTATAGTTTAAAAATAAATTTTCGTATATTAAATACATATTATTGAAAATTTTTCTTTGCCTATATAATGTGGTATATTCAATAACTAATTTTCTATAATAGCACGATGCTCTCTTCTATTAAAATAGTTGTGCATTTTAGCCAGCAAAACACGCAATCAAATGTATTTTTCAAGAATAAATTTTGCCTTGCCAGGCGAGAGTATCTTTGAGACTTTCACCAGTTTTCTTTTTTTCGTAATCGATACGATAACTTTATTTTTTCTCCATTTTTTTAAACTCTGAACTCGTCTTAATGATTATATCTTCCCTGCTTCAGAGACAAGTTAAATTGCGGCTAAAAAAATGAATATGTGTCAATTTAAAGCTTAACTTTTTCACTTACAATTCATCCTAGACAAGCTTACTCTAAAACGCCTTTCGTCGATGATATGTATTATATTTACGTAGAAAGCAATCGGAGAATCGAGACGCGACTCTTATCGGATTCTACGATGGTTAATTATGTACTATATGATCATCGGACTAAAATATGAATCTGCTTCGTCCAAAGCAGGGATAGATTCAACAATTATTTTGCGACTATTATAAAAGTCAATTTTTCTTCATAATAAATACCCATGTCTTGTAGTCAAAAATAGACCGTGTAAGTTTTTTTTAATTCTCATTTTTGTTGTTTATTGGTGTCGACGAAGAAAATACGAAGATGTACATAGATTTTATTCAATTTTCGGTAACTCTCCATACTAAACGCGACAAATATAAGTTTTTAACAAGCATCTTTCAATAAATGCATATATACACAATGTTTAAGGTTGCATTTTTTTAAAATCCATACACAATAAGACTACATCAAACACGTTCAGAAACATCGATAGATTTGGAAAATACTTATTATACTCGAACGGAAATGATATCTTTTCGCTTCGATTATTCTACATTAAGAATTTTATCACTCAAGTAAATATTTCCTAAATCTCTTATTCCCTTTTGTTTTTCCTCCAATTGAACTAGAACTTTAGACATTAATAGTGCCGTTTATACATGACAATATGTAACAGGGTATTCAATTTACCAAGGTGTGACTGTGTTTTTGCGTGCCTCGCAATTACATCTAAGTACGCATCAACGGCGTACAGCATTCCTCCTCGATACGTTTATTTTTAAGCTTAGCAAGGCAAATGAATTTTTGCAAAAGCCGAATTTTTTTCTCGTATCTTTGTTCAAACTACATTACGCTTACTCTGTCAATAAATACTTTTTTTTCTTATTTTTACTCGTCGCGTCGGCTTTTTAATCGAAGTAAAGATGCTTTCGTTTTTGCCAAGTAGCTTCGTTTTTATCTTTACAACACCAAGACTCGTTTTTTTATAACTTCAAACATTTATACACGCAACACATGCATTCCCAGAGAGAAACAAAGGAATTAGGAGTATACGATATAATTTATTTACGCGAGTGAAAATATTCAACGACTTATTGACTAGGAAAAGTTTATTATTTATACGAGATAAATATTTGATATGGACTTAAAAAAGTATAACAACATAGATAAATCTGCTTGGCAGTCACCTTGGTAGTGAGAGTTTGAGATATCATTAATAGAGAATAACAATGCAAACATCGATAATTGAAGTGTCCATTTCTTTTACATTCATCGTGCCCAATTAATTATTATTACAATTATTACGAAAATTTTTTTTATATCGACGATCGATGTACATACTTTTGTTTAAATTCTTGGATTTTTCGTTTTTTTTTCGGTATACACAAATTACGTTTTAGCAAATATTCTATGTAAAAAAATGTTCATATGCGCAATATTAACATGCATCTCTTAACGAAAAATTTGTCGAAGCTTACAAAGATATTGTAAAATTACACATCGTATAACATTGCATAAACACGCAACGAAGATAATCATAACAACATTCACACGCAATTTTTTTAATTAATACTCGTCAGTGGTATCGTATGTCATATATATTGTATAATATATATATTTACTTTTTTTCTATCCACGTTGTAGATGTGTGTAAAAAAAAGAAGAAGAGAAAGAGGAGGTAAAGTAATGGACATTAGGTGCATAATTTTCGACGATGAATAATATAACAGCGAGCGCAAATAGGCTTTTACGTCTCGCGAATAACAACGATGAAGACTAAATATCAACGTCATTATTATCACCGTGAATAAAAAAGTGAGTCGCCTCCAACGGTCGTATATGTACCAAATATACAACTACGATAATGATAATGATAATTACATACTATCGCAACGACATTTATCCTAAAATTATTTGTTTTTATCCTCGACACGCCTCTCGCACACAAGCTTTTTAATATACAATACGATTTAATAATTATTTTTACACGTATAGTTAATTAGACAACGAGTGGAAAAAGGCGAGATCAGATATACTTAAATTTTTAATAATATATACAATTCATTCTCTTAGGTATATTAAGATCGTGTATCAGTGGTTTATTATAATATTTATGTATGATATATACGCTCGAAAATCGGGATACAGTTATAGAAATAGACAGAGAAGAGGTTTTCAGAGAACAGAGTTGATACGTTTCAAAAACGAGTGTGTGTCTGTGTGTATGTGGAATTATTTACGGATATAGCCCGCGCGGAACTTTGAGAATTGTGAGAAACACGGCACATATATAAAATAGAGAGATAGAGAGAGAGAGAGACGAAGACGTTGAAGAAGAGAAGAAGAAGAAGAAGAAGAAGAAGAAGAAGAAGAAGAAATGCATTGGCTCGCTCGAGATCGTTTTCATTATACATATATAATAAATTCTAAATTTAAGACGAAGATAGGCTCTTGGAGGCGGCGCGCTTGAGCGACGACTTGAAGCTATTAGCAGCTTTGATGCGTCGCGAGTTCTCCCGAGAGCAGCCCTGTGAGGCCGTCTCGGGAGTGTACTCGGGTCACCAAGCCTCCGTGTAGCGCACGTCGAACTCCTGGAGAGCGGGCAGGCGCTTCTTCAGCTGCTCGAAGGTCGACGCCGACAGCTTCGTGCTGTTGAGATTGAGCTTGCGCAGATTCGTCAGTGCTGCGGAGAGAGAGCACACGATTGTGAAAACAAACTCAATGGTGCAAGCGTATACTTAAAAACGAAAGAAGCCTGTACTCACAAGCCAGAGTGGAGATGCCCTTGTCGGAGACGGGCGTCTCGCAGAGGTTCAGCACCTGGAGCTTTTGCAGGTGCTCACTGATCATCTGCAGGCCGGTGTCGCCGAACTGCGTGGCCCAGAGATTGAGGTACCTGAGGGCTGGCAGCTTGATCAGTTGCTCGGCGCAGGCCGACGTGACCGAGGTGAAGGCCAGGGAGAGACACTCGAGATTGCCGAGGGCACCGCCGCCGAGCAGCAGAGCCACGTCCGCGTCGGTCGCCCGTACTGGCAGGGTGAGCTTGCGCGGGCCACCCTTCTGTTGCTAAGTGACAGGTCAGAGATCGTACGTGAAATACAACTGGGATAGGAGATTTGCCATAAAACAATAAAAGCAAACTCAAACTCACTAGCTCCTGGAGGTTGCGTTGTCGCTGGCAGAGGGCGTTGTATCGGGCCTTGCCGGACTCGGTGGACTGTAGGGCCGAGACCACCTGCAGACGAGCCTCCTCGTTGGGCAGCAGGCGCCACTCGAGCATGAGGCAGAGAGCCTCCTGGGCGGCGTCGCAGCCCCTCACCCCGAGGAGTATGCAGGCGCCGCCGGTCTGCTTGAGCAGCGAACTGATGAAGCGCTTGCGACGACAGCAGCAGTCTAGCAGAGTCGTCAGCTAAAATGACAAATACATTATTATCAATCGTTCTAATGAATATCGAAGCTATGATTTTGAAGCTTATTTTTTCATCTCTGCAAGTTTAGAATTGCACACTTGGAGCGTTTCATCTTCAAGGCATCAAGAATTTTAATTAAAGCTTTTCATAGTCTTGCCCGACTCGTATGTCCCCATTAACGTCGCGAACGTGTATGCAGAATATATATAACGTCACGTGGTATTATAAGCCAAAAGCGGAGATGAAAAGCTCGAGAGATGTGATTCGAGCTTAGGAAATAGAAGTGTTTGCACTTTCCAAGTCATCGCGCTTCAGCTGCTGCTGCTGCTGCGGCCCCGATCACATACATTGCGCTCATGGTGCACGTGGGAAATCTATAGAACAGGGTATGAACGCAAACTCGCGCCAAAGTTTATTATGTTTCTGCATTGTGTAGATATTGTGCAGTTTCCCGCACACACATAGACGCGCGCACAGAGACATGGTCCACGAGCAGCTTTGAAACTGCGAGCTAACAAGTTTAACGTTTTGCAAGCTTTCCGCGAGACCGTGTACATAGCGCGCGGCGGTGGCCGCTGCACCACGATCCCCGTATAAACAGCATCTGCTTTCGATTCCGGTGCATATAGATATATGCGCTTCTTGAGCGATATATATATAGAGAGAGAGAAAGAGAGAGAGAGAGAGTAAATTCGATTTCTAAGGCTATCGAAATTCTAATTGGTCTTCGTGAGTCACACTCGCGTAACGGAACGATTCGTCAGCGCAGGGTCTTCTCTGTATGCTAGCTCGTTTAACTAGCACACGACTAATAATTTTCTCTTCGAGGAAAAAAGAATTTGCTGAAATTTGTGGGGGTTTTAACGTGTCGCTCGATGATATACACAACGAAAGAGCATAAATCTATTTTAAAAGCACTTAATGATTACATTTTAGAGAGAGAGAGAGAAAGAGCAAAATATTGAAAATCGTCGCGCTCGCAACACACTGAGCAATAAGGTAAAAATACAAGCTAGCTGGACATTAACATCACTCCGTGGGGTTGTAAAATGTCCAATGTAACTACTCGTCAAGAAGAAAAATGACCGGTTGAAATAAATCAGTGGAGAGTAGCGCCAGAATCGAGCGAGGCAAAAGTTTTCCTTGGACGATATTATATATACATTAAAATACTTGAAGTGTCCCGATATATATAACTGATGACCGTAAAGAGATATTTCGCATTTGCGCGCAAATAAGCCCAATGTTCGGATCAATGATAATGTTATTTTCTGTCAGGCCACGCAGCAGCACTCAGACGGCTGCGCGACCGATGCGCGTGCCAATGACGTAAAATATCTCTCTCTCTCTCTCTCTGTTTCTCCTCTTCGTCGCTCTCGAGGGGATTTGGGTTGAACGAACCTGGCGACGTCTTCGCCGATGGAACACCGTCGACGCGAAAATTTCGTTTGTAATTGATAGCACGTAGACGTCACGTGAAATCGAATAAAATTTTTTTGATTTTTTTCGTACATACTCTTCTTCTTTTTCTTACCATTTCACCGAAGAGCTGTCCCTCGTCGGGACAAGCCGGACTCGAGGGCGCGGCTATGTGAAGCCAGCCGGGTCGGAGCTCGCGCACAGGCAGCAGCACTCGATGCACGTTGCAACGTGGGTCGCGGCCCAGTCGGCGCATCACCACCGACAGCACGGACTCCTGGACCTCCTTGTCCGCGAGGGCGTCCTCGGGGAACGGCACGGGCTGGAGTAGGGCACCCAGGCCGGGTCGCCAGTCGGCGTACTCGGAGCTGAAAGAAATAACGCAGGATATTATTAATTAATTTTCAAGTCGCACGCGACGCATTGTGTCGAGGACTAGCTCGCTCTCGTAATTACGCTCTCGCGAAAAGCAATCGGTCACTTTGACTGACGGAAAATTAATAGTCGTTGCGCAATTTCTTCTTATTTTTTTTTTTTGTTTATTATTAGGTTTTTTGTTAGCGATCTTTACGTGGAACCTACGTATAAAGGTTATAACATAAAATCAGCTAAAATCAAAGCCTTAGTTATGCGCGCGTGCTTTCGCGTTATAAATATAAAAGAAACATTTATCGGGCTTTTGCACAAGTACACACAAACGATTGTGCATTTATAGATCGCGGCGTCAGCACAGTTCTGGAAACCCTAAAAATAAAGGCGCACAACACACAAGTTTTGCCTAGTCTACCGACGCAAAATCCATAATATAAGTATTATTCACGTACGCAATGTTAAGTACGAGCAGATAGCATCTCAGGGGTGGCAGTGACGTAGGCGAGACGTTGCCGCTATCGCTGCTGCTACTTTCCTCTTTGTTTTCCATTTTTCTCTTTTCCTCCTCCTCCTCCTCCTCCTCCTTCTGCTTCTCGACGTCCTCCTTCTTCACCTTCTCATCCTCCTTTCCATTTTGTTCTTTCTCGTTCTCCTGCTCTGGATTTTCTTTGGCCTGCTGCTGCTGTTGCTGTTTCTTCGGACTCTTGACGCTTTGCTTGAGGGCTGATACCTCGAATCTGGAACACGGGTGGTTTATGAGAACGGAAATCGTAAAAGACTGCGCCTCGTTAGGCTTGCGCGCCGACTGCGCCTCGTCGTATAGTCGCGTCTAAGTGAAAATGTACTTAAAAAAACAAGGAAAAAAGAGAGTAGTAACGCGAGTTACAATCCATCGTTCGTTCGTTTGCATAAATTTTGAACAATTGGCCTAGAGGGTCGAGCGAGGCGGCGTCAAGATTTATTTTCAAGCTTTTATCACGCTCCTTCTGCGCCGCGCGACGCGCACACTTCTTTCTCTTGGAGTACCTTTAAGAACGGAACTCGAGTACATTGCGATTGAATTATTTGCCCCTCGCTGTGCGCAGAAACAGCGACGGCTGTTCATTGAGATTTACATGCCAAATAAAACGTATTCCATTCTCTCTCGGCGCTGTTCGCATTAGATATAATAAAGTGGACAGGCGAGACGAAAAGCTCGCTCGCGTTGAATTATTTTATTTTACGACTACTACTATCTCCGAGTAGTCGTAGATTGGAAAATCTTTTAAGAGAGTTTTTTGTTCGAAGTGAAAAGTGCACTGCTTGACACAGGCGTACCTGTGAAAGATGGCTCCGACGCAGATGGAGACGAGATTGGGCAGTATTCGCGGATGCGGACAGTCGCTGCCGGGCCCGTGAACCGCCTGCACGTAGTCTCGAATGGCGAGCTCGCCGTCCTCGTTCTCGTAGAGAGCCGCGATGAACACCTGCAGGAGCTTGCGCATGTCCGGCGACTTGCCAAAGTCCACGGTGTGCTTGAGGCAGCGGGTGATGGCGGGCTCGAGGGCCGGCACGAGGGACGAGCGCGGATGGCGCTGGGCCAGGCGGGCCAGAGCGCGGGCCAGCGTGGGTGGGGGTGCGGCTCGCTCCAACAGAGGCGCCGCCACGTTGAGTATCGCCTCGGACCAGCGACGATCGGCCTCCTCGCTCTCCTCGCTGAGCTGGGCCGGACTAGGCTCGTCCATCAGGTCGGAGATGATCAGGGGCTCTTGATCGGAGCCAGATGTGGACGAGCGCTCGTAATTGTTGGGCTCGTCGAGGAGCTTCGCCACGGCTTCGAGCGGCGTGCTCATCACTCGCTCGTCCTGTATCAGACATCGAGGGAGAAAAATTAATTCTTTTTTTCAAGTACATGGATGCTAATAATAAGGAAATTTTATCTCACCTGCAAAGGCGTCGAGAGGGCAAAATCGACGAGAGCCTTGAGTTCGCGCAGGACGACTTCCTCCTTCGTGGCGGTCGGCACGACTTTTTGGTACTTAAAAATACTTTTCTGTTGGAACCAAAAAAAAAAAGAAACAACAAAAACACAGGTATTAAAAAGAGCTTTTATGAGTTGCATCGAAGGTGCTATGTATCGTACATGGTCAACGCGATGTCGTACACGAACGTGTGTACACGTGTATTGCATATACATCATTATCGACCTATATACTAGTGCTCTTGATGTTAGCAAGGCACTAGCGGCTCATTTAACTTTGTAATTCATGAAAAGCCGTGACGACGACGACGACGACGACGACGATATGCAGAGCGAGTAGTGCACGTACGCACGCACGTCTATGGCACGACAATTGCATAACGATAAAGTACATACATATACACAAACATATCTACTTTATAGGCTGATATACACAATGCACAAGAGAAAACAACACACAAGGAATGAATTCGAACGTCCGGCGATCAGGGACTTGATATTTCTCATAAAGGAATTTCGCGGCCGCCGTATACCTATGCTACGTACTACTATTTATATATATAACACACGGGTGCAACGATTATGCAGGTAATTTCATAGACCACCGCGATAGTTATAAAGAGTACGTGCTGCTGTTGTTGTTGTGTGTTGCGGCCGCGGGCGAGCTCTGTTTCGGACAAGTTGTTATTTCGGCCTAGGTGGAGCCGTAATTTGTGCAAGAGAGAGAGAGAGAGTTGGAAAATTATACACGAGAAGGAAGGACTATTCGTGTAAAAATTCATGAATTAATGCAGCCACGTATATATAAAGAAGATGTGCTATATATAATCTCGGAGCAAGTTCGTCATGACTGTGGCTCCTTTGCCGCTTTTATTGTAAACTCTTGCTCGCGCGTGTAAAAGAGAGATAGAAAGCTTAAGTAAATTTACACGCACACACGCATAGCTCGCTCGATGACAGCTGAGTTAATTTTTTTTCTCTCGCGTCACGCATTCCTCCGAAACGTCACTTAAGCACATATTTGCGGACTCTTCCTCGCGACAATTAATAAAATAATCAGGCGCGATGTGCGTCTGTAGAAAGAGCTGGAGATTTTGAGAGAAGAAGAAAAAAGCAACAACGCGACTTACCTTCCACAGTATCGAGTAGTACCATTGGTCTCTGGTGTAGGCATTGCTCGCCTGGAGCAGTAACGATCCGTCTGGCAGGACGATTCTTAGGCAGTATTTGTAGGCTGGATCCCATCTGGCCACGGCGTAGACCTCGCTCATCATGCTGTACATCACTGGTTGCTGAAGAAACCCGGTCAACTGGAAGCAGCAGATGAGAGAGAGAATATAGAGAATCGGATGATTATTAAATCCTCGTTTCGCAGTTAAAATCGCTTTTAATTCTTTCTTTCTTTTTTTTTCGTATATCGAGGAGAACTATTAGAGCGAATAATTCGTCGCGGGGCCGATTGTCTTTACATGCACAAATGAATAAAAATATAATAACGTATGTTGCGCGTCTGTTGCCTGTATAGATCCGCAAGTTCGATTGTTGTTTTGTTTTTTTTAACTACTTTATAACTCGAATGGATATTGCCTCACACTTTACGCGCGCGCGTCACGAACGCGATTGAGACAACAACAACAATAATTAATTTGTACGGCGCGGGCGCGCGTTACGTAAAATGTGAAAATTCGACAACAATAATTATATTGTTTTCGTCATCTGTAACAATATTGGGCAGAGTCGTAAAAAAAAATTCTGCCGTCTTACGATAACAATCGACAACGGGACGCGCGGCAAACGAAATTTAATACATACACGATAAATAACCAAATGGAAAATTTAAATGTCAGAGATTGTTGGATGATAAAACAAAATAATGCAAACAGTACTGCCGTATTACTGTTTTTTCACAAGATTTCAGTTATACGACGTCACGAGCATGAAAAAAAAAATAATAATCGGAAATGATAAATCCTGCGGATGAGATTTTGTCAAAGTATATAGGAGGAAGAAAAACCCCAACCGAGTCTCTCTATTCGATGCGGCTAATAGTGTCTATACATAGAAAAGATAGAAAAAGGGGATTTAGCGCAAAAAAAAATGTATGAAAAAAGGTCCACCCTAGATCGAAATACACCGTATATTTATAAAGAGGAAAAATTCAATCTATACAGTGCGAATCTATTCTGCGTAGAAAATTGAGAACGATTTGAGGAAAATTGCCCATCGCAGCTCGAGCGAGAATTACCAGAGAGAGAGAGAGAGAGAGAGCGCGTTTGGCTACACACACATACATACATGTGCAGAGAGATGTATTCAGTCGCAAGCACATACACATAGACTAGGAGAACCTAATGCCTCGGTTGGGAAATGTATTTATATGTTCAAGAGTGAATCGTTGTACGTGTGTTAGTGCATGCGTGTGCAGAATCGAGCTCGCAGTTAGTGCCGAAAGAGTCAGAGCTATCATGGAGTATTACGGCACGTACAGCAGCAGCATCGAGCGAGAGAGAGAGAGAAAATGAAGTCGAATCCGGAAGGAGGGCAAATTGGGTCGTGGCATTAATGAACTCACAGGGAAAGAGACAAACTGCGCCTTTATATAGTCCTCTCTCTCTCTCTCTCTCTCTCTCTCTCTCTCTCTCCCTCTCTCTCTCTCTCTCTCTAGGCGCGCACTACACACGGCTCCGTCAAATATAGGTATCCGCGAGCTTTGATACTTGCAAAGTCGAGAGAATTTTCTCCTTTCGTATATTTCTTTTTTTTTTCTTTTTCAACGACTTACAAAGAAAACACGTGGGATGGCTATTTTTTCACCGAATGGTCACAAGACGTTTGCGTTTTATGAGAAAATTTTCCAAATTCCTCTCTCTTTGCGCGATATGAGCGCGACGAAAAACGAACTACGCGATCGGAGTTCGCGCGTGCCGAAGCGTTCGGAAATCAGCTCAGACGAGCTCGCGTTTGAAATCGATACGTTTTCAGCTTTTCTTTCGTCGCGCGCACTGTTCGTATTATTTGTACGCTAAAATTCGAGCTCTTGACTCATCGCACGCAACCCTCCATGAGAGAGGGAGAAAAAAAAACTAAGCGCAAGAGAGTACAAAAAAAAAGAATCGAAAACTCACCCAGAAAAGAATTACCGAGAGCAGTAGCTATATAAGCTTTATACACGCAGAGGTTTTTTTCCACGCGTGCAGCTATCGTACGCGTATTATACGCCCGAGGCCCGAGCACGCACATTGCATTAACTACGAAATATTTGCTATTACACAGCTGAGAAAAGAGATAGAGAGAAAATTACTCTCTGCAAGCTTCATTACGGAGAAGTACAGCACAGGGCACCTATTACGATTGCAATCGTGTGCGCGCGCGTAATATGAAAAGTTACGTTACGCGAGAGAGTCGAAGTGTTATAGGTAGGAGGACGCAACGACTCCCTCGATGATCATTACGATGACGACGGCAACGACAACGACGACGATGACAATGAGGATGATGGTTTATACATAGTGATTGGCAATGGCGAACGCGTCATCGCGTTGCACTGCGCGCATATATAATAATAATCGATTCTTCGCGAGCTTCAAGCTCACGCTATAACGTTTCGCAATTATCTGAAATGCGAATCTTGTAATACGTGTTAAAGAACTTTGCTCTTCTTAAGTGTAATATACGCTCGTAAGCTTGCAACTTTTTTCTCTTTAAAATACCCAACAAGTCGTTATTTCTAATATCCCTTCGTCTCAGACATTCGACTGGATACTCTTTCGCGATCGTGTTGCCCAAATTTCCCGCCTGGTTTATCCAGAAAGATGAGAGTCGATATATCGCCGTACCATTAGGAGTCCCCCAAAGTCAAAAAATCACGCGTAAATATCACATATACTACGCGGTATAAGCTCTCAAGAGGAAAGTAACAATGAGTCAACACCAAAACACAAAACTGCGACTCGACAGACGGAATTCGCACTCGCTCACGCGATTATACGCGAAGCATGACGAATAATAGGCGATTTTTTTCATGAAAAACTTACGTACTTGCATACATCGGCGATATCGCGTGAAAAGTCGAAATATTCCCCCCTTACATAGACGACGCGACGTCGAAAACGTGTCTATGTATATTTACGTTATATTGCGACGTTGAGAAATGTCACGGATAAAAATCAATGGCATATACACGTATTCGCTCTTGTGTTGGCTCGTGCTGCTGTTGCTGGACGTACCAGCTTTTCCCTGTACGTATTTATCACTTTTTCTTCGGTGAGATAGAGAGACAGAGAGAGAGAGAGAGAGAGAGAGAGAGAGAAAACTGTTATACTTCATATACGTATGTTTGTGTGTCTACGTGCGAGTGCTTGACCTGTACGTGTACTTCGAGAGAGCTTGAAAACTTGGAATATTTCGCACGCAATATTTTCAGCAAAGGATTGTACACTATATATTTATTTTTTTTTGTTTTTACACGTCTTTTTTCCTCTCCTCTCAGATGGTGATAGTGAACATGGTCTCGAGAGAGAACGAGCGAGAGCCCGAGAGTATATATCGAGCGCGTGTGTAGACTTGCAAATACGAGCTTTTTCTCTCTCTCTCTCTCTCTCTCTCTCTCTCTCTCTTATTCACATTGTTGTTCGTGTTTTCGTTTTATTTACACGAGCTTTTTTATATACATATGAACAACGGCGGCGGCGGCGGCAGCAGTGGCGGCAGTACGCGAGCTTTCTCCACGTATAGTGCGCGGCGTTCGGTGATCTAACCAGCTTCGACCCACTTTATTATTATGTATATACGTGCCTCGCGCTCACGTTCGATATTGGGCCAATATACATGTATGCATGTGTATGCGCGTTATACTACTAGCTCCTGGTCGTACACACACACTCAAGTAAAAAGTTATTAAATTCGCTTTTCCACAGAGTCTTTATGTCTATATACGTATACGTGTGTTTGCTAGCTTTCGTTTATTTTTTTTCGAAATAAACAGTAGCTCTCCAAAGCTCTCCGTGGTTTATATCGCTCTCTTTTTTTCTTACAAAATGAAATTACGATAAAATTTCACGGAAAAATTATTAACCCCACCTTTTATTTTTACCGTGAAAATTGGCTTTACCGTGAAATAAAATGACGAGAAGTCCGAAGACTTACAACGACGAAAACAATTATTAAAGAAATTTGATAGATAACGATGTCATAAGAAGACGAAAGTTGAAAAAAAAAGTAGAAAAAGCTCCGACTTGAGTGGTAAAAGAGAGAAGACAGACAGGAAAAGTAAGAGAGAGAGAAATATTGGTCAGAAATAACGGCAAGCGCAGAAGAGTAAGCGGTAACTCGAATAGGAAAAAAATCGTAGCAATATCCGTCGCTGATGATTTAACGAAAATAAGATTAAAGTAAAAAAGTATAAAAGCACACGCTGGACAACCGTGTAAAACCCCCAAGTTCTCAAAGTTCCAAATTAAAAGAAAAAAAATTTAGCTTTAAATTTTGTATAACAGTGCAAATTCTCGGCACTTAATTCCACGAATTGAAATTTGGCCGGCCGAATGAATTCCCAAACGAATTCGGAATTTATTTTAGTATCTACACTAGATACGACAAATATTTTACTATAGGATTCTTGATTGAATAACGAAAATTCCATTCCGCTCACTCGTATATAATTCCCAACAAAAGGTTCTGAAAAAGGAAAATCCCGAGCCGAATCAAGAAAAATTATCTCTCAAATTTATCTCTCGAAAAGGGGTTAGGATCTACAAAGAGCAAAGTACCTGCTGTCAAATTGAACTTGTGTCAATACTCGCCAAACCCTCCGTTTTCTCCGTTCAAAGTACATATTTATCAACAAAGATCAATTAATAATCCCTACCCTTTGCGCGGATCGCGTTCCAGGGGCAGGAAGTGTCCTGTAAGTACTTAATCCATTCCAAACTTTGTTCTTTCCCTTTGGCACACAGCTGCTACGCTTCCCCGGCGAACGTCGAAACTTGCTCCGCGCGCATCTCTATTCATTAATTCCAAGTGTCTAAGTCACACTTGCAGAAACTCGAGTCGCCCGGGCGCCTCATCTCACGCATGACGGATACCAAGCTGAGAAGCCCCTCGTCCTCTTCCTTCGTTCATTTTAATATCCTTGGAGATTGGAGACCGATCTCGAGCATTGGCCAATACGAGCTTGCGCGCGAGCCAGTTTATTAAACACAATCCTACGCTAAGAAAATACATTCATTTTCAGCGCGCCGTATATACATATATAAGTCTGTGGTATATAAGGGACAATTGTCTAGAAAAGCCAAGTGCTGCTGCTCAGCTG